GACTTTAAAATCAGGATCTCCTCAGTTGCTAATAGCAATTCCCACCTTGGAGTTTACAAAGTCTTATGGGTAGAAAAGCCACACTAAGTAATTTACTACACCGCAGTCCCACATTTGCACCAACCTTCCAGTGGGTTTGAGAAGGTTAGGGGTGCTACCATGACAAGAAAGGGTAGGCCACCAGGAGTCAAGAACATCTTCATGACAAAGCTGGTTGGCATAGGAGGAATCATAGTCCAGAAAGGACTGAAAGCTAATAGCCATTGTGGGCCTAGTAGCTAGATGAAAATGCTCCTGATCATAGTCCTTCATTGTAAATTCATTGAGATAGGAAAATAATTAAATTCAGATACAACATTGATATAAGTGCTGGGCTTGGAGTCATAAATAAATCCAAGAAGTACTTAGAATGTACCAATCTTTAGTCAGTAAGCATTTACACATTTTTCCTCCATATAAAAATACTTAGGTTTGAATCCTGGCAAGGCACTTCACCTCTCTGAGCTTGGGAAATGAAACCTAGCACAGTTTTCCTCATCTTCACAACAGGGATGGATGATGGTATTGTCTATAGAAAAAACTGATGTGACTGTTACATAAGCAAATACTGTATATGTAAAAGCATGTAACTCAGCCCAGGTACTTCTTTCTTCCTTTAGACCAGTGGTTCTCTATTCTAACTGAACATTCAGAGTCACCCAGGGAGCTGTTAAAAAATACCAATGCTGGGGTCACATTTCAGACCAATTAAACAGAATCTCTAGAGGGTGGTACTGAGACTTCATTTTTTGTTTATTAGAGTTTTTTTTTTTTCCTTAACTTCCTAGTTAATCTAATATACTTTAGAAAATGTGGCAGTTATCACCCATTCATTCATTCGTTCAAGTGTTTAGGATTTCAGCCCCAAGGAGTATAGGCTTTTATTATAGTATAATAAAGAGTTCAGAACTGTGACTACCCAGACATGGCTGGGTAATGGTCATTCCTCACTTTCCCTCCTCTTTAGGACTACTTCCCAGGACCCAGCCTCCTGCCATGTCTGATCCCATCACACTGAACGTTGGGGGCAAGCTCTACACGACCTCTCTGGCAACCCTGACCAGCTTCCCTGACTCCATGTTGGGCGCCATGTTCAGCGGGAAGATGCCCACTAAGAGGGACAGCCAGGGGAACTGCTTCATTGACCGAGATGGCAAAGTATTCCGCTACATCCTCAACTTCCTGCGCACCTCCCACCTGGACTTGCCAGAGGATTTCCAGGAGATGGGTCTCCTCCGCAGGGAGGCGGACTTCTACCAGGTGCAGCCCCTGATTGAGGCTTTGCAGGAGAAGGAAGTGGAGCTCTCCAAGGCAGAGAAGAATGCTATGCTCAACATCACGCTGAACCAACGTGTGCAGACGGTCCACTTCACTGTGCGTGAGGCACCACAGATCTACAGCCTCTCCTCCTCCAGCATGGAGGTCTTCAACGCCAACATCTTCAGCACCTCTTGCCTCTTCCTCAAGCTCCTTGGCTCCAAGCTCTTTTACTGTTCCAATGGCAATCTCTCCTCTATCACCAGCCACTTGCAGGACCCCAACCACCTGACTCTGGACTGGGTGGCCAATGTGGAGGGCCTTCCAGAAGAGGAGTATACCAAGCAGAACCTCAAGAGGCTGTGGGTGGTACCTGCCAACAAGCAGATCAACAGCTTCCAGGTCTTTGTTGAGGAGGTGCTGAAAATTGCTCTGAGTGATGGCTTCTGCATTGATTCTTCTCACCCACATGCTCTGGATTTTATGAACAATAAGATTATTCGATTAATACGGTACAGGTAAAAAGGACCCTAGCAGCATTGGAAGGGTGGAATCACAAGAAGTTCCATGTCTTCCAAGATCTCAGAAAAAGTCCCACCAGTGGTGTGAGGCAGGATTCTATACTAATATGTATTAATCACATACAGGACTTGATTTCCCTCATGATGTAGTCCACCTTTTGGAATCCATGTGTCCTCTGAGCAGAAAAACCTTTTTCTTGCTGTTTTAAGCTGGAGATGGGCAATTTGTTATGACAGTGAAGAGTTAGCTGACATAAGCAAGGGAGGCCACAGCAGGACTCTCTGACTGGGACGGGGAGCAGCAGTTCTTTCATGGTTTCCATCTCTCTGTGGACCATTAGCCAGTAACTTGTTTACCTGTCTGTAAAAATGGCCTGTAGCAGAGGGGATGGAGTGAGAACAAGAAGTTCACTTCAGTTTCCCAGGACACAGAGTACCCGGAGGTTCCCATCACACCCACTCTCCATCCCTGGGATGGGTCCAGGCCTTGGCCTAGGTAGATACCTAGGAGATGACCATGTTTGGTTCCTTAGAAATATGCTCCTTGGAAATGCATGTGGCCCCCACAGAGGAGAGATTTGAGCTGTGGAATGGCCTGGAGGACCAAGCACCAGGCAGGGTTCAGAAGGTGGAGCTATCCCTCTTAATTGGGCCAGGTCTTTGCATTTGGGGATTTCTGGCTTCAGAAATAGGCTGCTATTTCATGTGAAGATCTGAAAGTATCTGGAGTCAGTGTGACGAAAGGCACTTTGTGTTCTGACCTGTTACCTGACTTTTGCAATCTTTTTTCCAAAATGTGAGTATGATTGAACTGGCCATTTTTAACAAATATATTAAGGAATCTCAGGGTTGGAAAGTCATTCAAAGGTCACTTCGTCCTCCCCTACCACGGGCACTCTGATGAGCACCATTTGCAGGTGAGCGCCTCTCCCTTACCTACCAAGTAATCGCCTGTCCCTGCTCGCATACCTCCAGTGACAGGAAGTTTGCCATCCCCAAGGCAACCCCTGCCAGAGTTGGACAGCACTTCCTCTTAGAAAGTTATTCTGTATTGAGCAGAAATTTGTGCTCCTGCCACTTCCATTAGCTGGTCTTGGTTCCAGGCCTTTCTTCACACACAAATGTGTGTCTTCTTCGAAACAGTCACCGTGAAGCCAGACGCTTATTCTGAAAATATTATTTCTCTTCCATCCCCTGTCAGCCAACCCCATTTTGTTAGGGGTTTGCCTCGTTTATGACCTCCATTTCACCCATCTTCCTCGCTGGCCATGACTCCACATGCCTTCTGGCTATTTCTGTTGGAGAATGAAGATTTGATGCCCCTGAAGGGATCCAGAGAGAGGGAGACTAGGATCTTGAAGGGCACTATGCAGCAAAGAGCCCAGGAGTGGTCTGAACAAGATGGTGCACTTGGAGTAGGTGTCTAGCCCCTCAGACCCTGCCCTGAAGGAGGTGACCTTCCACTGCATTATTGTTTCTGGACATAACCGATACATAGGCCTCCTTGGTATGAAATCCATGACAAGAAACCCCAAGCCACCACTTCTCAGAGGATGCTGAGCAGTGCAGGCCTCAGAACTGCACATTATGATTCATCCTTAGAACAACTATGGCCTTGGTAGTGCCTGGAGTCTTCCCTACTGGGGAGGGCCCCTCAGACAAAGCCAAGGAAACGTGGTGACACAGGTGCCCACGGAAGATAGGCCAAGTAAGCAGTTTCCCATAGTTATGTGCTTTGAGTGGAGAGGTTGTATGCTGGGCCTTGGACAAGGCTGGGTCTCTTGGGCAATAAAGGCCTTTTCCCAGGTCAGTGGGATCCAAAGTTCTCTGTGACAGCTGCCCCAGGCCACCAGGCTGATGGTACTCAGGGAAACCCCTCAGAAGAACTCAGTTTAGACCAGACAAAAGAAATCATGACCACGATCAAGAGCTTGGGAAAGAAACTTCATCCATCACTGCTGCCCATTTTTCTCTCTGTAAAACTGCTCTTTCTCCAGCTTTTTGGTGCTTCCTAATTCAAGCAGCTTGACTTTAGAGAAAGTACGGGACCTGTGAAGCCACTAACATGCTGTGTGACTTTATGCAAGTCACTCATCTCACTGAGCCACCTCAATTTCTTCACTTGTGAAATAACAGTAATATGTAACCCTACCTACCTCACAGGGCTGTTGTGAGGAGCAAATGAAACAATGTATGTGAGAACACAGTATAAATGATAAATGATTATTACTATTTTTTGTCTACTTAAAGGGGGACAGTGGTGGTTCATTGGTCAAGCTCTTGCCTTTCACTCCTTCCATGTGGAAGACCTTGGTTAGTTCCTGGCCAACACACCTCAAACACAGCCACCACCCATCTGTCAGTGGAAGCTTGCATGTTGCTATGAAACGGGACAGGTTTCAGCCAGGGCTTCAACTGGTTCATTCCAATTTAACCCCTTGTTGAGAATTTGCATTTTTACCCAAATACACTGAATCAGAATGTACATTTTAGCAAGAAGGGTGATTCTTGTTAAAACGTAGATTCCGATTCAGTATATCTGAGGTGGAAAAGCAAATTCTCACCAAGGAATCAAACCGAAATGAACCAGTTTGAAGCCTTAGTTTCAGCAGTTTCCAGATTATGATGGACTAAAGGAAAAGTCTGGTGATGTGCTTTAGAAAAATCATCCCGCGACAACCTTCTGTGTCACAGCAATCCAAGACCATTGCCGTGAGTTGGGAGCCAATGCAACTGCAGGTAACAACATAAAGGAAAAAAACTGACCTTTGGTTTGGCTCCATCACTTGCTATTTATCCTTGGACAAGTCAGTGAGCCCCTCTGAGTTTGTTTTCATAACAGTCACCACCTCCCAGTGTTACACAAATGAGTTAGTGTATATGAAAATTCCTAGCAAGGCTTTGAACTGATTCATTCCAGTTCCACCCCCTGCTGGGAATTTGCATTTCCACCCCAGATGCACTGAATCAGAAATTACCTTTTAACAGATCCCCCAGGTGATTCTTGTGTGTGCATAACAATCTGTAAGATTCTGATTCTTAGACAGGGACATTTTTGTCATTGTTGGATGCCGGTGAGTCCATTCTGACTCATAGCAACCCCGTGTAACGGAGTAGAACTGTTTATAGGGTTTTCTAGGCTGTAATCTTTATGTCTTGGTGGCACAAAAGATAAGCACTGGACTACTAATGGTTGATGGTTCAGACCCACCTAGCAGCTCCATGAGAGAAAAGACCTGGCAGTCTGCTCTCATGAAGATCATAGCCTGGAAAACCCTGTGGGGCAGTTCTAATCTGTCACATGCCATTGCTGTGAGTCAGAATCAACTCAATGGTATCTAACGACAACACATCTTTACTGGAGCAGATTGCCAGGTCTTTTCTCCTGTGGACCCAGGTAGATTCAAACCTCTGGTATTTCTATTAGCAGCCAAATGTGCACCACCAGGGCCTGGCACATAGTAGCTCAATAAATGTTTACTCTTTCAGGAAGTAATAAGGAAAGACTGTTGTGTGTGGACTAGGAATCCCAGGAGAATACAAGTTAAGTCCTCAAGAGCACTGAGTGTGTAGGCCCTACGGGTTGGAATAGCCAAAAATCTATCTGTGGAGGGAGCTTAAGGGTCCACACAAAATGCTGTGGGAACTTAAGAGTTCAATTCTCAGAAGGGACTTTATGGATGTTAGAACTGAGTCTTTCATGGTAGTTTGGCTTTTGACAGAATGTGCTGAGGAGGGCACCGTGGGCACAGGAAGGAAAGAGTAGAGGCCTAAAAGCCAGGCTCCAGAGGGTGGTTCCAGGAAGGAGTGTTCATGCACAGCCACAGAGCAAGGGAGCGAAAGGTGGTGTGTTCAGGGCTATCTCATTGTGTACATATCTAACTTAGGTGAGTTCAGCCAGCCACAGTGAGAAAGGATGCTAAGTGTGCAGGTAGCACCATCCCGGTGGACGAGTATGAAATGGGAGGCAGATGCCTCTCTTGTCAACCCCTCACTGTCCTGAGTGAGACATGAGAGTGATTCCTATGATATTCAGTTTATCCTTTTGCAATCCCAAGAGTCTTATCCCAACTAAAGGCTAATTCTGGGCCTACATCACTGGTAGCTCTATTCCTGCTACAAGTGTGGTCCCATTCTTGCAGAGGGACTGCCAGTGAGGATGCTCACGGGAACTGGAAGGCACATTTATGTGACTGTTTCGTGAGGCCCAGTGCCAAGCCAGGTACCTGCATCCTTGAAGACCAACACTGGCTGCCTCTCAGCAGGCAGGGCCTGTAACTTAGGCCATCTCAGACATTACTCCTTAAGACCTCATACCTTCAAGACCACCAGAAGCCCTTTTCCCTGTTATGCAGAGCCAAGACTTGTGATCCTATCTTCTGCCTTTGAGCAGAGCTCCCTGTGCAGGGCTGGGCCTGGTCACCTGTGGCCTTGGGCAGTCTCCCTGTGTCCATACCTCAGTGCCCTCCACACAGCACCGTAGCTCATGATGTGGTCACAGCACTTATCTCATAGCTATGGAGCCCAAAACATAGGGCTTTCTTTTGCAAATTACTCCTAAAACAGGCTGCTGTGAGTGGGGCTTTGGCCAACGTCAGTTTTGGACCAATTTCTTGGCTCCTGTGGCCAGAGCACCAGCCCATCCCTTTCCTGAATTGCCCTTTCTTCACACTGACCACTTGCCCCTGACTGCCTGTGTCTCAGGGGGCTCTGAGCTGATGGGGGTGGCTTGCAGGGAAATGAGATCCTGTGATCATCTTGCAGAGCAAAACAACCTTGATAAGAGGCCCAGCAAAGGGAGGAGCCAGGGCTTCTTTCCAGACCCTGCAGAGCCCCGGCTCTGGCAACACAGTCTGCCCAAACAGCCCAGATGACCGCATTCTCCTTCAGAACCTTTGGGACAGTGTGGCACCAACCAGAGCTGTGCAAACAGTCTGGGGCACAAAGACCAAAGGGGGTCTTGTGGAGAAAAGTCAGCCTATGGAAGTCAGAGGATCACTGAGCAACTCAAAGTACCGAGGACCCCACCCATCTGACACCAAAGGATAATGAAACGAGCTTTGCCATGGTGCAATCCAGCTCTGGCTCTTAGGGAAGGAGTGCATGCTTAGCTTCATCCTCACTGCACCCTCCCCTAGTCCCATTTCCCACCAGCTCTGTGCCCGCCCCCATATAAACAATTTCAAAACTCTTGTCAACATTTCTCAGCTGGCAGGCATTGAGTATTCTAGCCCCT